AGAGAAGAGAGAGAGAGAGTAGTACTACGTTATAATAGTATAGTGTATACGTAGTATTACTAGTAGTTAGTAGTAGTGTGTGTGTGTGTGTGTGTGTGTGTGTGTGTGTGTGTGTGTGTGTGTGTGTGTGTGTGTGTGTGTGTGTGTGTGTGTGTGTGTGTGAGAGAGAGCAATAACCCCCGCTGGGTTTGTACAGCTGCAGATAAACGACGGATGGCTTCAGATACCGCGCTCATACTGAATATAAAAACAGGCTGAATACACAGTGAGGAGCTGCTAGTCCTGCACCTCTCATCTTTCCCACTGTGAGTGTTGAACACTGACAGACAGATGTTTGCTGAGGATCTGCTTAGTGTGTGTCCCCTCTCACTGCAGGGGGTCCATGTTTGGTCTGAAGCGGCAGCTCGTTCTGAAAATACACTAATGTCCGGAGGAGAGGGAAACTCTGAAGTGATATTTAAGATAAGCAGTTCTGAGCACAATATGTTTCTGTGTTAAGATAAGGAAACATAAGAGAAGATTGACTTTATTAATCCCAACTTGGGAAATGTTTTCGTTGCAGCAGCATAAAACAAAAAAGCCATTGCACATAATAACAAATTAAAAGATTAGAAATAAACAATTATAAATATAAACAGCACAAAATAGAAATACAAGTAAACCAGCATTAGAGAGTAAGAACACATATTTACAGATGACCGTGAAGATTAACAGTCTATAAACAGTCTGATAAATAAAAACACTATTGAAGGGAAATTATGATGAATTAAAGTGGACATATCATGCTATATTTGAACAATATATTGTAGGGCCATACCTATATAAAGTATATGAATATAGTTATTTTTTCAAAATACCAAAACGATCCTGCATTTCAGCTATGCCTCATTTCGCTCTTTCCAGCGCTGTTTTTGCAGGGGGCTGATTCTGTGAGCTGCAGCTGACCACGCCCCCTGTAGCTGACCACGCCCCCTGTATCTGACCACGCCCCCTGTAGCTGACCACGCCCCTTGCAGCTGACCACGGCCCCCTGCAGGAGAGGGGAGCGTGCTCTGAGATCAGCTGCTAGGCTGCAGCGGGGAGAAGAGGGGGACAAAAAGAGATCTCCGTCCTCCGTGTTTTATTCTTATAGAAGTAAGAAGAGAAGTAACGGGGCAGAAGCCCTCCTTTCTACGCAGCGGTCCAGACATAGACATCAGACGGCGACACATATTCAGAGTGCAGTTCCTTTGGCATTAGGGCAGGGATATCTAGATACTTCCCAAGGTTTGACATCATGAATTGTGCTACTTTTAAAGCAAGCAACGATGTTTTCAAATCTGTAATCAAAAAGGTCCGCAAAAACGCTATGGAAGCAGTTCCTGCTGTTGCTACGTAGTTCAAACGGTAACAACAGACCATTTTTCTTAACGGATCAAGAAAGAGAAAGGAAATTAGGTTAAAAGGCGGAATGCTGGACGTCAGATAAATCCCCAGAAGGAGGCAGAGAGGAAGTAAACACTAACAGGAACACGGTATGGGCTCTGCAGTTTTTAAGGACTTGTTAGTGGATCAGAAACTGAACAGAGTGGGACAGTGCTGCCAGAAAGTTGTTGTCGCAGTTCCAGCCGTTGGAGTTTTTTTTTTCAGCGGAAGAAATACGATCATTTTTTTAATCGTTTCACTTAAATGAGGGGTTGGTAATTTTGGAGAAACCAGCTCGAGTGCGCTAGAATTAGAAAATTACACAGCCGGAAGAAATCTGCCCCTTCCTCACAGAGCCCCTCCTCCAACACACACGAACGCGCACATGATCAATGAGGGCACGAGATAAGTTTGTGCCCAGATGGAAGGCTGACAGGCAGGTAGGCCATCCAGTTACTTTAGCCGGCTCAGGTGATTGGTCGTGCTTTTTACAGCGCCACGGCTTCCACTGATGAGATTTTGTATGGATTTGTTGTCAAAGCACTTCAGATATTCATTTCTATCGGGATGTTAAGAGCATTCCATGGAATATAACAAAGTGTATCTCGAGCCGGTTTCTCAAACTTACCTACCCCACCTTTAATGTTGGGAGTCGATTCCTTAATTTGTTATCTGGCCGTGTAATAAGTGGGATAATATGCAGCGAGGCGGTCATTATGGGGAAAAGAACACCCGACAGGCGGATCAGGGAGCTTGAATCAGCATGAAGGGTGTAGAACATGTGCCTCGCTGCACATTACCCCTTACTTAGTAACTTTAAGAATGGGTTTCATTCATCAGGAAACCAATATGACATGAAAAAGAGCTGCTGTCTCCTGACCTGCTGTCCAAGATAAATCAACACTTCCTGTCTGTCCGTCCTCAGTCCACTCCCCCTCAGTACAAGGTCCAGGACATGAAGGTTCCCACCGCGCTGTTTTCAGGGGGACACGATACGCTGGCGGACCCCAAAGATGTGGCCGTCCTCCTCACTCAGGTCAGACTCTCTCTCCTTCACAATGAAGGCTTTATACCAGGGAAACAATAAAGAGCAGAATAAACCCCATCATTGTTATTCTGAAAGGGTTTCAATATTAAACATTTATTTATTATCTTATTTATATATTACACATCACACTGTACATTTTACATTTATATTCAATCTAATATGTAATATTCCATTCCTCTCATACTTCTGTATATAATATCCTGCTTCATATTCTGTTACAGCACATCTGGAATTCAACATTTTATTTATATTAAGATGTTTACATTTTGGATTGTTTATTTCTTTTAATTGTTATCGTACAATGCCAAAAGCTTCCCAAATTGGGATCAATAAAGTACTTCTGATGTTATCTTCTGATCTCCTCATGGCGTCCTGCAGGTGTCTAACCTGGTGTTCCATAAGCACATCGAGCACTGGGACCATCTGGACTTCATTTGGGGTCTGGACGCTCCGGAGCAGATGTTCCCGTCCATCCTGAAGCTGCTGCAGCAGGACCGCCACTAGAGGGCACCACGCCGAGTGTGTGAGGGCCTGTTCACGTCTGCAGCACAGCGTGGGGACCACTGGACTTTACACCAGCAGCAGGACCTCTAAAGGTTTCAATGAGGAAAGTGTGTGTGTGTGTGTGTGTGTGTGTGTGTGTGTGTGTGTGTGTGTGTGTGCGTGTGTGCGCGTGTGCGCGTGTGGTGTGTGTGTGTGTGTGTGTGCGTGTGTGTTTTAAGCAGGGCTCTACCTATAGACCTTTTTTAACATGTTTTAGTCTGTGCTAATCTTTGAGATGAGTCGTCGGTCTATGAAGTGTCAGAAAGGGTTGAATCTGAATATGATATTGATTAATGATCAGAATAATAGGATTGAATGTATAACTGAAAATGAAACTGTGACGTCTATTCTGTTTTACAGCAAATTGAACCAGCCAACAATATAACAAATACATATCTCTATCAGCTCTTACATGTTACTGCATGAATAATAAGCACATTTGATAAAGTATAAAAAGCCCATTTAGCTTTTTAGTGAGTACTTTTATATTTTGAACACATTTCTTTATTATACTTGTAATGCAGGATTTATACTCAAAGCTTTCTAACATGCAGTATAAGTGGTTAAAGAAAGACGTTCCCATCAGCCTTCACTGTGTTCTATGTCTACTGCGCGTTAGCACGCGTTAGCTTGCTGTTAGCATGCAGTCGGTGTTCACCTGTTGAAACACCTGGACTGTTACCTCAGAAAACATCTGTGTACCTCTTTAAAGTGTCTGACCTGCAGGAAGTCACATGTTCATATGTTATCCTTTCAACCTGTGTGCACAACGCTTATCCTGCTGCCAATCAGGAGGAACCACCGCATCCAATCAGGAGCCTTGTAGGGGGCGGGGCTTCACTTTGACCGTCTTTTTATTTTAATTTCTGACATTTTCTAATCTGTTAAATGTGAACAATAATAAATCATAACAACAACACACTCTTTAAATGTTTTATTTAATTATTTAAGAGAATTACAAATGTATAAATTGATCTGTATGTTACATCTTATCTACAAACAGAGTTAAGAACAAATGACCATATCTTCTAAAAGGGTTAAATTATCTTTGTTCTCAAAGTAATGATGAACCTGTCAGTTGGATGTAGAAAAGTCAGAATCAATAAAGATGCTTTTATTTTAAAGGAAATTCAGATTGAACATGGTAAAAAAATGTAAATGATTGTGTCTGTCCAAAAATAAAACATGACTTATAGTGAAGACTAACCTTGGATGAAGGTAAGGCAGACTAAAAGCTTTAGGAATCCAAACTATAACATATAATAAGTACCCTGTATTAAGATGAATGCAAAACAAGTGAAGTTTGACCTTTTTAGAGAGGTTTAGAAAGAAAACCCTCTTCTGGGGTCATTTGGGTGGATCTCCATTTCTCTGGAACCCATCGGTCGACTTGACATCTATAGCTACAAATGGTTCGTATCGTCAGGTAGCTGAGTTCCTTCCTGTTAAGTGGGTACGACACATTCAGAGGTTGTTAAATGTTAAGAAGGGTTAAGTTG